AATAAAGAATGGTCTGAATGCAGCAATGAGTTGTAACGCATGCGTTGCTACTCACTGCTGCATAACACCCGTATTGACTTACCGGCAGGGTAGGGTTTAAATAAAATAAAATAAATAAGAGCTAGAACGGACAAGATACAAGAGAATTGTGGAAGTTACATAATATTTAGACAAAAAATTATAAACAATGTGAATAAGCTTATTAAAATTATAAACGCTAAGTACATTAAAATATGAACAGAGTAAGCTAAGTAACAAGATCCTAAACTGAAGTAAATAGATGGTTACAATTGCTGTAGTGTAGTATATAATAAATGCAGATGTGGATATAGTTCTACAGATCTACCGGAGAGATTGAAAGAAAAGGGAAAAAGATATAATATGAAATAAAGGAATGTGGAGAAAGGAAAGAAAAAAAGAAAACCGAAAAATTAAATAAATAAGTAAATAAAATTAGAAGAATAAAATTAGAGACTTACAGGTGTGTTCAGCTAGGAGTTTCACTTAGAAGTGGAAAACCAGGGTAAGGGCTGGGGAATTTGCTACCTTGTTTGGGTAATAGGGAAAAACCTAGAAAATTACTGTATCTAATGTTCTAATCTAATGAAAGTTACTATAGTATAATAGACTGATGAACAGAAAATTTCAAGATGCTGCTAAAAGGGGGTCAAATGCTGGAGAAGTTTGGATGATTTTAAGGGGACGATGCAGCTTTATTATGTTGAAGACCACTTTATTTTCTATTGCTACCGAAGGTGCACATTGGGACTATCTTCAGAAAGATTTGTAGTTTTGTACCTTAACAAGAAAGGAGATACTAGGAAATGTAATTCCCATCGAGATTGATTCCTGTTTGGTGTACCAAAATAATTATACTCAAGAATCGTAGAAGCTAGAATAATAAATATTGTCGATTGCCAGAGCGATATAGTTGAGAGGCTCGAGTTACGCATTGGAAGAGAAGTAGCAACTTGGGACTATCTTCACTTCAAGGCAGATTATAGAGAAGTCCATCTAGAAAGAAAAATAGCTCTCTATCTGCTTAGTGCCTCACACTTTGGATTGTGCTAATATCTAATTGTCTTTCAGAAAAAGCTCGTTTTCCTTTTAGATTATTTAAAAAAATCTTTTGCAAATACACTAAACAGAAGGAGAGCTATTTCCCTTTCTCGATACACCTCTCTATAACCTGATTCAAAGTGAAGATAGTCGAAATGTGCATCTTCAGTAGCATAATAATAATAGCATCGATAATAAAGTGGTTGCATCGTCCACTTAATATCATCCAAACTTCTTCAGCATTTGACTGACTTTCAGCAGCATCTTGAAATATTCTGTTCATCTGTCTACTATACATTTGTTCAGCCAAATAATGAATACTGGTCCTTTATTTCTTTTCTGAGATTTTGGCACTTCCTTTCTCGTTCGCTTAATGTATTTTTCCAAAGAATCAGTTCCGGTTACTAAAAGAACTTATAGTTTCGCCCTTTCCATCTTTATTTATTTGAGGGGATAATGCACTCAATATTAAAATTTCCTATGTTTTTATGATATGGTTCAACTTTCGAACAATTTATTCCGCAATTTCATAACAATAAGTTATGAAACTATTCATTATATGTAGTTCAGATTAGGTATATATTATTTTAGTTTATAAAACAGGTATTGATATGACTTATTTCCTGGAAAGTATATACAATTTAAATTACCTCTAAGAAACAGTAAATGTACAAAACGAAGTGTTAAATTGCAAACGTTAAATAAAAAATTCAAGATATTCAGCAAAGTATTTTTTAATTAAGTTTTATTATTATAATTATATCAGTTTTACAATAGATGTCTACTTAAACGACCTCCATATATAATAAAGTAAGTTAAATTAAAAAAAAAAATAATAATAAATTTTAAAAAAATTGTTTAATTTTTTTTTACAATTAAATGATTGCATTAACATTTGTTCGTTAATAAAACCATTATAATGTACCAAAAACGTTATTATATCACTATAACTAAGCCATTTATGTGTAGAGAATGGTGTGGTAGAGTCTTGTAGGCACCTACGACGGCACCGCTTTTCTCCCACATAAGTGCATTTTCTACCAAACCCCTTCAAATATTTTAAAAAGTAATGAGTGTTTTAGAAAGAAAAGTATATTTTTCAGATCTTTTATTATAGCACATTTTGCGTTATTGTTGGCCGTTTAATTACAAACGACGCATAATTTTCAACTTGATAATTTTTCCAATCTCTTCCAAACTTAAAACATATCCCGATACCTTTAATTCAATTCACATCGGTTGTATTGAAGCCGAACTGGATATTCCTCTCCATATGCCCATTCCGCCTGAAGCATTTCATTCCACAGAAATATCCAACATCATTAAACAATTACCCTCTCACAAAGCTCCTGGACATGAACTAATTAATCTAATAAGAACTAATCCCAGATCTTAAAAGTTCTTCCTCGAAAAGCCATTCTATTCCTTACTTACATCTGTAATGCTCTACTCCGATATTCCATTCTAAACGATATTCTCGCCCCCTCAAAATTTTTATTCGGAGGCGTCGATTGGTCCCCTCGCCCCCTTCCGCCTCCGTAGTCTACACCTATGATTATATTGATGATTCAAGATTTAATAAACACCTTTGAAATTTTTTAAAAAGTGAATTTAGGAAATCCGTGTGGTAAGTTTCGTTGTATTTAAAACTTCGTAAGAAAATATTATAGCATTTTCGTTTTTTTTTAACTTTTGGATGTTGTCTTGTAATGAATAACAAGAGGCAGTTAGCATATTTGAATAATAATTTTAAGGAATTTTTTACAGAGGCCTACCTGGAGGGGCAGAAGGAGCTCCCCACAGCAGTGCTTTTTCTCAAAAATTAAATGATAACTTCAATTCAAAACAATATCAAATATTTTTTCTTTAAACAGACGGAAACTATTGTTTTATTGTTTTGTTTTCAATGGAAATTTTCTCTGTTTGGACTTGATCCCCTGAAAACAAAATTAAATTTAAAAAAATCAATAAAAGTGGTATTAATCACCTTAAACTAAATATTAACTTTAAAATATTTGGTAATAGATTTTAATATCTAACCAACTCGAGAATAACTGTTGATACAATGAGGGTAACAATGCAACAATAGGGTAACAATGTCAATTAGTAGGATAGAAATGATTTTATTATTATTTATGAAATTTACAACTATACAAATTAATACAAAGAAATACATGACATGATAAGGCTTGTAGAGAATCTACCCATTGGTAGCAATCTAAATAGAAATAAAGTAGTTATATTATTTTATTTATTGTATATACTTTTTGATTATTATTTATTTGTTATTTTGCTTCTGTTTATTTTATATTTTTTTGTACATATACTGTAAATATGATCTTACCTCACTACAACTTATATACAAATGAAACAATGCTGTAATATTCAATGAAAAATATTCAATAATAAAAATTACAGTAAAGAATTATGGATGGCATAACAGGACATTAGGTACGAGAACATTAGGAAATAGACTATTCCTGAAGATTTGGAAAAGCGCCGAAACATTGGATATATAAGAGGAAAACCAAGATTAATCTTCCCACAAAGATTTTTTTCAGCAGCTCAATTCCTTAAGAACTTATCTTTATACAATATAGAAAACCAAAACCCACCTTGAACCCACAAACCTCCCAAAACAACGCTTCCTCTCTCTCGATTACTCAAAAGGAATACCTCACCATCCGAGCACAAAACCAAATTTTCCCTTCTTCTATAAAATATTCCAGAACCATTTTTAATTTACACCCATGGTTCGAAATCCGATTATGCTACAGCTTCATCGTTTGCTACCCATAACTCGACACATAAAATAAAACAACGGAACTTCATACAATATCCTCAGCCCTCTGTTTCCGTATGCCAATAACTCCAGGCACAATAGTCTTAATAGCCTACTCCTTGAGTTCATTAAAAGGTTTAAATGACATGCACTCAAAACATTTTAAATGTTACACAACGCCAAATTGCGTGAACCATATCCGGTCAATATAATTGAGGTGATTACACCAAGGCGAATCAAATGGGCTTGTAAAATTTTTGGGCTTAGTAACGAAAGAATTCCTAAAATTTAATATTTGCTGTACCGAATGGTAAACGTCTGAGTGGTAGACCGAAGCGAAGGTGGGAATATTGCGTTAAATCTGATATGAAGGGACTGGGTTTGAACGGCGTACGATGGAGGGAGGTGTGTAATAAGGGATTGGTGGTGTCTACATCGAATCTTCGGGTTCACTAAGCCTTTTATTATTATTATTAAAGAATACGAATCAAACATAAAAGCAGTAATAAATTTTCTTAAAATCCATAGGCTATTAAATAAAATATAGAACTAAATATAATTTTATTTTATTGTGCATTGTTTTATTATTTCATTTTTTATTTGTTTTTCATTTATTATTCTATCTATTATTAATTTTTGATTATCCATTCTTTTTCCTCTGTTCTAAAGAGTTTATGAACTCAATAGATAACAAAAATAACCGACTCAAAGGCGTTGATGACCATAGGGTTTTACGCCTTAAAGCCCAAACATACAAACGAGCCAACATGATTAACAGAACGATTTACTCCAGCCGGTATACATGACTTTTTTTAGCATACCCTTAAGAAACTATTTAAAAAATCCTTTCTGTATATTGCGGTTTATCAAATAAATAACACCTCATTAACCAGCCCAAGCATGGAACATAAAAATATATATAATTTTTACTTATATTTCATTTTACTAAATTTCGGATATTATATTATATTTATATCCAGTTGGTTAATTATTCAACTGAACATTGGAAACAATAAACATGATTATAGAAAATAATAAACATGATAAACACGATGAAACGATAATATTTTAACTTTTAATTTTAATCGAGTTGTTTCATTGAATATAAATGTGTACGTATATATAATATATGTATGTATCGATATCGCTCGAGCGTCACATGCTAAGGAACCCCACAGTAGTGTGTTTTTTTTTCAATAGGCCTCAAAAATAAATCGCCCCGAGTTTCTAATGGTCAAGGTACGCCACTGACCTTTTCAAAAGCGATTTGCGGAGTATTTGACTAATAATATAATAATAGAAATGGAGTTGGGGAGGAGAAGCTAGAAGTTAGTTTTGATGAAGTGGTGTTGTGTTGCAGGTGCCAGGCAGGTACAGGAAGGTGCGTCGTAGACAAGGCTCACAGGAACCAGTGCCAAGCTTGCAGGCTCAAGAAGTGCCTTAGCATGGGCATGAACAAAGACGGTAAGTGCCACAGCTAACCTCCTTATTCTGAGTGCTCTATCCCCCTCTCCATTTAATTCTCTCAATTGCCACCTCCCCTCTTATACAAATTACCTCTGTAACCTTGTTTGAATTTATCAGGCTACTCTTTATAGTTGTCCTCCATCCCTTTCTGCAGGCAACATTAGTTTGAATGATATTAAACCCATACCAATATCAATATCTTTTTATATTTTGAAGTTTCTACCTCATTAACCAGCAAATCTTTGTAATCCTATATCAAGAATAAGTGGATATTATTTTGCGATGGTAAATGCGGATCATCTTGAATGGAAAACTGATTAGAGTTATCTCTTCTAATACTATTTTCTGAAATACAAGTTCTGTCTACGTCTTACAGTGGTTTCAATAAAATTCTGTATGTCGAAGATAAATAATCGTTTTAATCATATTCTCTATTGATTTATTTCATTTTTTTTAGGTATTTAGGCACAGAAACGAGTTATCCTATATAGAATGCAGATACTCAGACATATATCGATTAGTTTTGTACTGTTTTTTTTTTTTTAAATAATCTCCTAAATTACATAATTAAAAAAGATTTAATTATTCGTCGCTTGACAAATAATTAGTACATACTGCTAAAATATCCGATCAATTTACAAACAAAAATCTGTTATTTCATAATTAATTCAGCTAATAATGTATTTATTGGATTTATGCCGAAAAATAATTAATCACTTTTATTCTATGGACAATTAGACCCAGAGATGGGCAAATGCTACTCTGAGTACAGAGTAACAAGTATTATGCTCAAATGGAATCACTGTTGATAATTCAATCACTACTTTAGTTAACCGTTTTACATCAACTGAAGTTGTAATTTAATCCTTTGCTATTCAAAATTTTTTACTATTTGAGTAAAATAATTGATACTCAGTACTCTGAGTAGCATTTACCCATCTCTAAAAGTTATTTCATCCTAAAACGTAATTTATTCTTTCGATTTCAACGGCAATTGAAATTTAGAAGAAAAGAGACACAACGAAGTCGTAATAAAACGGCTTTCCGCTTATATATTTTCAAATTATTTGCTATTTAAAGCAGCTATCATTATTTGGCTGGCTCAAAAATAAAATTTTGATTCGCCTGACAAAGATCCTCACTACCGTCCTTAGTATCCTTGGGTGCCGGACACCGCAATTGCAAGGATTGTTGGTCATAGCGCATGCGCTGTTTCTCTCCCACCATCCCTCACCTGCACAAAACCAATAACCAGAACCACCATGGCAACACCCCCCTCCCCCTTCCACCCTCTTTCCTTCCGAAAACATCCCTACACTATCGTTCAGCCAATGAAAACCTTATCCATGCTGTCTTTGGAAGGGTCTTCTACCCCAGGCCAACACGCTGCTACCTTCTGAGTTGGGAGGAAAATTGGTCCTTATTTATAACATATTACTAACAGACTTTCAACGTTTTCATTGACTTATAACGTTTGAAAAACAATAATGAGAAACAAATTCATTCAATATAGCCCAGTCATATTGGACATGATACTTTGCAAGTCGGTTAATTCGAATTTCTTTATTATATTTTTAGGTATGTTGTGAATATAATAAATCCAAGTTTCCGCTCTTGAAAGCCTTGTGGGTTCACCGCAGTGCTCCAAAAACCATTCAAGTTTCCTACGTTTGTTTAGTTTAAGCTAAATATCTCCTTTTTAGAGAGAAATATATAAAAAATGGTTATATTCAATTTTAAACAGCTTAAAATTATCTGACATTTTTATACATAATATTTTTTTCTAAACCCAACAGAAAGCTTTCAAAATATATCCATTTAGATATCTTCACACTAGTGCTCTTTCAGTTTTGGATGAAGAAGAATTTTGTAACTCCGTTTTTAATTTCCGTTCAGAGAATTTAGAGGTTTTCCATGAAGATAATGAGCCATTGACTGGAACGATAGACAGTAGTCGGGAGGTTTTTCAAATTGTTTTTTTAATGATTTTATTGAGTATTAGTACAGTCTGGCACAGTGAAGGACATTCGTAATGTGGCTACAGCATTCATTCACAATACATGTACATACGAAAGGAAAATAAATATTAAAAAAAAAAAATAGATAAATAAAAAGATAAAGTAAGATAAAGAGAATTAATATACATTTTTTGAAAAATATGTTACACTTTGGGCCAGACCCCTTCCCATCACTTCCCTCACATCTCACGAATTGCGTTCCTTGTAACTATTTATTAAAAAACAAAACAAATTCCAAAAAAAAAAGTTACTGCAATATCCCAAAATGGCGTCCAAAAAAGGCGGACTGACGTCTTTGACTTGAGTTAGTTTTTCGGTCACCGAAATCCAGTGTTTAGCTTAATTTAGTCATAATTGGTATTTTTTGAAAGCAATAATTGTTTAAATATAAAAAAAAACATGAAAAAATAATAAGCAATATGGGGAGTTTTACGTTATTACTTTTTTGTAGTTGTGAACAATTTAAAAAAAAAAATCGGCCCTTAAACCGTTTACAAGTTTAAAAAACATGGACTCCAGGACTAAAGTTCGAGTTGATCCTTTAAATAAGAGTGGAGTCTACTCGATAGAATATTCATGTTCTGCCGTTTATATCGGACAGGCGGGAAGAAAACTAAAAAGCAGAATTAAAGAACACTTCCCTGGTTCAAGCCATGCATCGCATTTTCAAGATCTTTTTTTAAATTGTTCACACCCACAAAAAAGTAATAAGGTAAAACTGTTGCATGCCACTTCAAAAGGGAAAATAATGGACTTTTTTGAAAAATTAGAAATTAAGAAAACAATTATAAAAAATGACGTAATATGCCTGAATTGTGTACTCATAAAATTAGTGGCGGCAAATGAAAACAAGACGTAGGGGTAGGGATAACCCATCTTGTCAATAGTTTTGTTTTTATTTTTAGTCCTCATTTGACAAGCACTACAGGAGGACCACCATCGGTAAGGTGATTACCATTTTTCTTAAATAATTTATTAAGATTTGATTTTAAGTTGTTAAATTTAAAAATTAGGTTTTATTATTATTTGCAATAGTTTTTGTTGTTGTTAATTTTATTATTTTACCTAGCCTGATGTAGGTCTCATAAAAAACTGATACTGGTTGCGCAAAAGTGAAAAATAAAGGAATATACAGGAAGGCAACGTCTTTTTTATTAAAAGTTTTTTCATCCGAATTTCAAAATATCAAATTCTTTTTAACAATTTGTATAAAAGTTGTTAAGTTAAGAGAAATATGTTTCCTATAAAATCTATAGCAAATTGTGTTTGCTTTAACATTTCATTTAAAAATTTGAGCTACGTCACCTATAAAGCAGATAGTTAATTAAAAACAATAAAGTATGCATGATTTTTGCAAATTTTCAAAACTTTACCCATTTTGAAAGCTCGATAGTTCAATTACTGTTGGGTTTATAAAACAATGTTAGATAAATTTAAGCTATTTAAGATTGAATATAACTATTTTTTATCTGTTGCTTTAAAAAGGAGATATTTTACAAAAAAAAAAAAAAAATGTTGGGAACTTGAATGGTCTTTGCAGGACTGGAGCGAACCAAGGATGAAGGCTTTCAAGGACGAAAACTTGGATTTTTTATATTCAATCCGTCTCAATCCGTATATATATTTTTTTTTTATCTGTTTATTGAGAAATAATACATTTTGCCACACTTAACGGCACTAAGTACTAAGGCTGAGTGAGGCACATTCATACCATATATACAATACAATAAAAAAAATACACATCTATATAACAAAGGCAAAAACTATAATAAACTAAGGAAATGTAACTTAGAGTTAAAATAAAATAAAATACAGAAATTCGTAGAAAAATTAAATAAATTATAAGTAAAAGAAATAAATAGAAAAACATTCATACTTAATTACAATATTTACAATCAGGCAAGAGATCTCCGAGTCCAGCCCTTTTCCCCACGTGTGAAGGACAAAGCGAGATTTTAAGAGATCCCAGCGCTTCTCTCTCAACCGCGTCGCCGGCATTACCAGTCCGGTGAAGACTGAGAGAGGGCACTAAAACCACAAACACTCATTACTTGAGTGGAGAAGCTGGCCATTGCCAGAATTCCAGTGACGTCTTTACAAGAGATCTCGAGGCCACTGCCGTTTCAACCTTCGAGGAGGATTGTAGGGATGACTGGAGCTAGATAAGGATTGTGCTAAAGGGTTAGGATGGTGGATTAGGTTCATGTGAAAATTTGAGAATCGGGATGGAATAACGTCAAGGACATAAGGGATGTAAAGGCCATGATGTAGGGTTTTGTTTGTAACGTAATAAGGAGCATTGACGGAGGAATTTGACACCATTTGAGGAATTGCTGTCACCATTGCATCAGCAAATTGCCCTCCTAACCTTTCCATCTCCAATGTCCAGTTCACCTCTTTCCTAAATTCCTTAGGAAACCACTTCAACCTGGGTGCAGACTTAAATGCCAAGCATCAACAACGGGGTTCAAGAACCACGAATTATCGTGGTTGAACACAACTCCTACCTCACCACACTCTCTACTCATGATAATTCTCTCTTGAATACCACCAAAAGAATCCTAAAATCCCATCATATTTCCCATCCCCTTCGTCGAGGTGATGGTACCTGGAAAACGTCTGATTTAGACAAAGCCGAGGAATTTGCGAAGCAACTTTCCTGTACCTTCACTCCCCATCTAGAATCTCATCCTACCCACACAGTAAAAGTAGAAGAATTCCTTTCTTCACCTACCCCACTCTCCTTACCATCTAAAGCAGTTAATCCCTCTGAGGTCAAATACCTATTACGCAAAATCACTCCTCGTAAATCTCCTGGATACGACCTTCTAACTCCGCAGATCCTACGACAACTACCATCCAAAGCCATCATATGTCTAACCTGTATATACAATTGTATCCTCCGAACTACCCACTTCCCTCTCTTACGAAAGCATTCCCCCACCATCCTTTTCCTGAAACCAGGCAAGCCTCCCAATAATACATCATCCTATAGACCAATTAGCCTACTCCCAATTCTTTCAAAAGATCTTTCAAATCTTTCAAAATTTTTGAAAAGATCCTCCTGAAAAGAATCCTACCCTTAATAGACTCCCGAAAAATCCCTACCCATCAATTCGGATTCCGTTCTAAACATTCTACCGCCCAACAAGGACTTCGAGTTGTTGATCACATATCCTCAGCCCTAGGAAACAAGCAGTTTTTCTCGAGTGCATTTCTGTACATTGACCGGGTATGGCACGCCGGACTGCTCTTCAAACTCAAATCAAATCTACCACAGTCCTTATATCTAATACTCCAATCCTACCTCTCCGACCGCTCCTTTCGAGTTGGCTGTGGTACAGAATTTTCCGACTTTTTTTCAATTGAGGCTGGAGTTCCTCAAGGCAGCGTCTTGGGTCTCATCCTTTACATCATCTATACCGCTGACATTCCCGTCCATCCCGATACACTCCTGGCAACTTTCGCTGATGACACTGCGATCCTATCCTCTAACTCAGATCCTGAAACAGCGTCCATAAACCTGCAACGGCACCTATCCCTGATTGAACACTGGTGCAAGAAATGGCGCATCAAAGTCAATGATCCAAATGTAAACATATAACCTTCACCCTTCGTCGTAATTCCTGTCCACCAGTTTACTTTAATACCATCCAGATTCCCTTCTCCGACACAGTCCAGTACCTTGGTTTTCTCCTAGACAGACGACTAACGTGGAATCCGCATACTAGACTGAAAAGAAAGGAACTTAACCGACGTTATGGCCAGCTATATTGACTACTTAATAGAAAATCTAAACTTTCTATTGAAAACAAACTGCTGATCTACAAGACAATACTAAAAACTATCTGGACCTACGGACTAGAACTGTGGAGGGACAACCAAATTTTCTAACATCAAATAGTCGAGGCTCCCTTCTATGTCACCAATAAAACTCTGCATAATGACCTTAATATTCCATTTATTCTTGATCTTATCCCAGACAAATTCTCCAAATTTCATCAGAACCTTACCCATCACCCTAATCCCGTAGCACAATCCCTATCTAGCTCCACTCGTCCCTACAATCCTCCTCGCAGGCTAAAACGGCAGTGGCCCCGTGACCTTTTGTAGCATGTATATATTGGAGTTTTGGCTATGGCCAGATTCTCAACTCACGTCATGAGTGTCCGTGGTTGTAGCACCTTTACTCAATCTCCGCTGGCTTTTAATACCAGTGAGATGGTTGAGGAAGAAGCCCAGGGATCTCCTGAAGCCTCGCTTTCCCTCCACATGTGGGGGGATAAGTATGGTTCAGAGTTCCCATGGCCGACTGTAAATAGTGTAAATAGGTATGCCTATATCTAAGATGTTTATTTTCGTTACATTTTTTTTTTTTTTAA